ACGATGGCTTCAAGCTTCAGGGGGAGGCATTCGACTGCGAGCTTTTTCGATCTCAATGTCGATATGCATTCCAGTTCAAGGGGAAGACGTGCAAGTAGTATGTTCTTCGACCTAAATGTGGAGAGCATGGAGGAACCATCATCTCCACCAGAAGAACCGCTTCGTGAGCCTGGTGCGATGGTGCTGAGACTGGACTATTCATTCACCCAGAATCACCGCAATTCAACTTCGATGATGATGAAGTTCCAGGAAATGTGGCACAAACTGACTCTCCTGCACACATGTATGAAGCTGATTTTGGTGCAATGTATGGGCCAGAATTTGCGGATATGCCTCATCTCGGTGACTATGGATATTACTCATTAATAAATAATGGTGAGTTATCTTTAGGCATGGAGTTTTCAAGCAAAGAAGAAGCGATGATGGCTATAAAAAATTACAATATCCGTAATTTTGTTCAGTCCAGAGTAAACCGATTGACGACTGAAAAATATGTATGCTACTGTGTCTGACGCGAAAACGGATGCAAATGAATGGTTCGCTTATCGAAAATGAAGAGAAAAAACAATATATGGGAACTAACAGTATACAACGGTCCTCACACATGTTGTGCTGGAGGGGTCAACCAAGATCATTTTAACTTGGACTCTGAAGTGATATGCCAAGCCATCATGCCCATGGTAAAAACAAGCTCTCATATAGCTGTTGCAGTGTTGATTTCAGCTATACAATCGCGGTATGGGTACACTGTCTCCTATAAAAAAGCTTGGTTGGCAAAACAAAATGCCATTGTCAAACTTCATGGCGAATGGGATGCATCTTACAACGAACTTCCAGGCTGGTTTAGGCTGGTACGGAGGTTGAATCCTGGGACAATTGTGGACTTCGAAACCTCCTATGCATACCATAATGATCGAGTTCTCGCGATCGATGTCAATTCTACCGGGTTTTTTTGACTTACCCACAGTACGTTAATGTTGTCAAATACTGCAAGCTTGTGGTCCAGATCGACGGACTTTCTTGTATGGAAAATACAAGCAAATTTTATTATTGGCAGTTGTCCAAGATGGAAATCGAAACATTCTTCCAGTTGCTTTTGCCCTTGTCGAAGGAGAAGATACAGATTCTTGGGCTTTTTTCCTCCGAAATTTACTTGCACATGTTATCACGAGGGAAAAAATATGTGTCATTTCTGATCGCGGAGCTGGGATCAAAGCAGCAATGGAGTCTTTGGATTCAATGTGGCAACCACCCTTTGTCCAACATAGGTATTGTCTCCGACACATTGCTGCGAACTACTATGGAAGATACAAGAAGAATGATGAGCGTCAATTACTTGTGCGCATGGGTAAGTGAAACTGATATAGTTTGTTTTTTTTTTCTATCCTTTTGATCAGGTTAATAAGTTATACATTTTTTGACCAGGTTACAAACTTCTTCCTCGAACGTTTGAATCAATGTAGCTTGCTCGCATACACGTCAAGACTATAACTATTTTGTGGATCCCATATACCTACTATATGAAGTTTTTAAGGTATACGAATTTGAGTTTCCCCCCATAGGTAATGACAAAGACCCTGATGAGGTTCAAGAGTGGTTTCCGATTGTACCAAATCTGAGTTTATTGAGGGAGCGTGGTCGTCCAAAATCCAATCGAATTCATTGCGATATAGATATTCGAGAAAGATCTAGACAAGATAGAAGATGTGGGCATTGTAGAAACCCAGGACACACTAGAAAAACATGTCCACTTCTGTTGTCATCAAGTAACAATTGATGAGGAAATGATATATTTGTTTATCAAATAATAATTCTTGTACTTTAATTTGCATTTACTTCAAGTTAATGTCATTCGATAATCAATGATGAAGATTAAAAAAACGAACACAATCATTAAATTTTATTAAACTAATAACAATTTGGTATTTGAATATAATTTTAAATACAACAAACTTACAATAAGTATTAAATGGTAAATGATAACCAAATTACAATAACTGATATTAAATTGTAATAAACAAAAATAAACTGAAATACATTAAAAAAAGTCCAATAAATTTAACAAAATAAAGTAAGTATTAAATGAGAAATAATAAAAATTACAATTTAACAAAATAAAGTAAATACAAATATAATAAAAAACAAAATCTATCGATGCCTGCGACGGGAATATGTTCCGCAGGGCGATGGTTGTCGGTCTCGAGGAAGATTTCTTCGTATCATTGGTTCTGACTCCTCGCTGTCATCATCATCACCATCATCGTCGTCGTCGTCGTCGTCCTGAGCAGGTACATTAGGTTGATGAGGAGCTGATGACGATGAAGCACCTCCATAGAATAAGGACCCTAGAGGTGTATGACTGATTATCCTATCGGCCTGCAAAAACTGGGAAAACTCATAAAACCCAGACATCGCTGAGTGTGAAAACTGTACAGGAGGTGTCTGTGCTGCGGCCATGGGTGATGAGGCTGAACCTGCCAAATATACAACATATGAACCCCAAGTCAGATCTGCAAACATAGACCCATAATAGCCTCCAGGAGGGGTCATCTGTGACGGCGGCGGGGTCATAAAACCAGGTAAAGGCGGCGGCGGCATCTGGTAATGGAAAGGCAATGGCGGCATCATATATGGCTGTGGTGGCTGTTGTGAAGGTCCTGCTGGTGCAGCTGAGGATGAACCGGAAGCACATGCTCTCCGTCCACGAGTCGGGGGGACGATGATGCTGTGTCGGATCACGTCTCTGTCGACATCGCAGAAAGGTCTGCCCTCGTGCATCCTCGGGAAGCAGAAACGGTTTCCCGTTACTATTGAACCACTCATAATAACCGTCAGCATACATCAAGAGGTCATAAAAAATGGGCTCTCTACGGGGAAGGCACCGATATCGATCCTCCCACAACACGACCCACTCATAATGCCTCACTAGCCAATCTGTATTTGTCTTGTCGCGTCTATCTAAGCTATGCAACTCGTCCATATTGGGAGGTGCTTCTGGAATTGGTTGAAAACAACCAAACTTCCGGAGCACGCGATCAGTAGAGTGCTACTCGACGGTCGCATAACAGATCAGAGGGACCATCGCCATCCAAACATTTGATGGACCTCTCAACTCAGGTGGGATCACCGCCCTCACATCATCAGTACAATATGGCACCCATTCAAACTAAAACAAATATTATATAATTTTTTTATCAAAATAATAATCTAATTATATAACTGTAATCTAAAATCGATTTTTAAACATTAAAATTCATACCTGTGTGTCAGCCTGCTGATCGATGAGCACCCTAATTTTTTTCTAAATCATCAGGTAGCTCCTGATGATTTTTCCTATCAGTATACCACCTATTCAAAGAAAAAAATATTATACGCTGTATAAAATTATTAATATACAAAATCAGTTTTATAATTACCTTAGAAGTAGTGGAAATACGAATGAGTTCTTCACAACGGGACATAAAAAGGGCAATCGATACCATGCCCAAGACTGCAGCAGCAGGAGACATCCGCCGATAACATTACGCCTGTAGTTAGTGGCTCCACACATCTCCCTGTACAACAAAGCCAAAACTGCCGAGCCCCAACTGAATGATCCGGCGATACGAAAGTCGCTAAGATATCGCAACCACATGCAGTGAACTAGGTTGCGCGATTTGTCCGACATCAGCAATACTCCTATCAGCTGCAGTATGCATGCCCATGCGTACTGTTTAACTTCATCGTCAGACACTTCCTCGCTCAACTCCTGAAAATTGACATCTAACCAATTTAACGGTATCCTACCTCCGATAAAACTTTTCGGGACACGTCCTAGATTTTCCCGGCACAAAGTAGTCCAAGAACCGGAAGCTCTCCCTGATATCACATCTCTATCCACCGGAAGCCCCAGGTGCATAGAAACATCCTCAAGCGTGATCGTGCACTCTCCGCACAGAAGATGGAATGTGTGGGTCTCCGGCCTCTACCGCTCTACTAAGGCAGAAATAAGGTCTGATTCTATCTTATAGTAACCCTGATATCTACCTATGTAACCAAATCCAGTCTCTACTAAATACGGCAAGACACGGCTAGATATCACTAACTTAAGATTCATAATAAAATGATCTAATATACGGTCATTCTCCTAAAAATAAATAATTACAAAAATTAATTCTTAATATAATAATCATGCATTAAATAAATCAACAAATTATTACTAATAATTTAAATTAAATTAAAACGTTAAAATGTTACCGTATCAACAAAGTGTCGAGATATATGATTTACATTTAAGCGAAGTAGACCGCCTTCCATTATATATCTGTAAAAAATTTATATTAGTAAAATATTAAATAAAGTAAAATAATTAAATAAATTAAATACATAATATTAAAAATATTATAAAATATATCTTAAACGAGAGAGTATTTAAGAGAATTTGAGAGAATTTTAGAGAATTTGGTGTGATGAAAGTAATTGAAGATGAGGTATTTATAGGGAAGGGTAGGGTGTGAACGGCCGGGTAATTAAAGTTATAGCGCGCCTTCTGCACCCTGCTATACTCCACGTGTCAGATAAATAGGTATAGCGTGGAGTAAGGTCGTGCTATAGCCATGTGTAATCCAGTCAGCGTATAGCGCAGTATAGGATTAGAGCTATACCCCACGTGGCGCTAAATCAACATAGAACACAGATTAAAAGATGCGCTTTACTATTACGATTGTTAAATCAAAAAATATAATTTGTCCGATGTTAGATCGATAAATATATCGATCATCGATAATATTTCGAGAAAAACTTCAAAATTCAATTAACCCAATCTGTTGCCGTACCTAGTGATTAACACATGGCCAGAACTACTGAACCTGGTCACATGTGTGGTCTTAATTGCATGGTTTGTTGAAAGATTTCTCCTTGTCCAATGCTTTTCCACAGCTTGTCACCATCGTCTACCTCTACCATACACGTTTTATCATATTCCCAATGTTCTACTAACATTTATGTTGCTGAACCATAGTTTGCTTTACTCAAAATCTCCCTAACCGTTCAAAATCTCTCTTTCAAAGCTCCAAATTATGGAGAAACCAGTCGCCAATCCCCGACAGCCCTTTGTTGCACTTATTGTCGGCGTCACCGGCATGGCAGGGCTGAGCTTAGCTGAAGCCTTGAAGAGTCCCAAAGCCCTTGGCGGTCCCTGGAAAGTTTACGGTTCAGCGTTGCGGCCCATGCCAACCTGGTTCCCTTCCTCGGTCCTAGATAAATACATCGCTTTCGATGCCATCGACGCTGGCGACACGGCCGATAAGCTCGCTCCGTTCTCCGGCGAAGTCACCCATTTGTTTTGGGTGGCCATCCAGGTTCGTGAAAGTGAACAAGTAAACGTCACGGTAAATGCAACTATGTTATCCAATGTTCTCAACGTGTTGAAGGGCGGCCGCGGTTCAAGACTCAGCCACATCACGGTTCAGACTGGAACCCAACATTACATGGGTCCGATCCATTATTCGTCTGAGTCGACCCGTGGTTTCAACCCCCACGAACCACCGTTCGTGGAGGATTTGCCCCGGTTGCCTTACCCGAATTTTTACTATGCGCTTGAAGACCTCTTGAAGTCATACGTACCGACATTGACGTACTCCGTGCACCGCTCGTCGATCATAATAGGCGCGTCGTCGAGAAGCAGATACAACGCGCTACTTACCCTCGCAGTGTATGCATCGATCTGTCAACACGAGCGTTTACCGTTCTTGTACTTCGGCAGCCGGTACACATGGGAACATTTCTGCGACATGTCCGATGCTCGTGTGCTGGCAGAGCAGCATATATGGGCCGCTGTAACCGAAGGCGCCAAGAACCAAGCTTTCAATTGTGCTAATGGCGATGTATTCACATGGAAAAACGTGTGGAAGAAACTGTGCGACATATTTGATCTCGAGTTCATCACGTTCGAGGAATCCAAAATCTTCGATTTCATTGAGTTCATGAAGGAGAAAAGCAAAGCATGGGATGAAATTGTAGAGAAGCATGGATTATACAAGACAAAATTGGAGGAAATTACATGTCCAATGGCTCTTAAAACTGTGTTGCATTTTGGGTTTCAACATGTATGTAGTATGAACAAAAGTAAAGAATTTGGGTTCTATGGGTATGCAGATACTCTCAAAAGTATTCCTCTGTGGGTTAACAGACTCAGACACATGAAGATTATACCTTAGTTTCTTTATATTCTGCTGTTAGTTGCTAATGTTCTTCCCAGGCACACGACTTCATCCATATATTGATGGAGTCAATTGATTAAAGTTAAAGTTTTTATGATTATAATAAAATTTCTTTTATTTAAATAAAAATTTCATTTAATATGTATTGTTTTACTTATTAAATAAATTATGTCATGTTTGAATATAATTATCTTTTAATTTATAATTGTTTAAAATCATTTGTTTGGTGGGCATTTGGGTCATTTGTTTGGTTTCTCATTAAGCCCAACGAGCTCAAATTGTGTTCCATGTTTCGACCAGAATTGAGAAACCATCTGGTAGTTGGGCTAAGACATAATCAGGTTTTGTCTCAATTGTCAACGCCTTTTTACTGAAAAATAGTTAAGGTACACAAGGAAACCACCACCTTAATAACACTCAACTAACCAGCATGTGCCAGATCACAACCCCAAACGCCATTGGCTCGTTCTAAGAAACATTACCCTCACAATCACGGTAATTAAACTAATAGAACGCTCAAGTAAATAATGAGAATTAAATGTGTAATTATATTAATTTTATTAATTGATAGATTGATTTTTTGTCAAATATTAACAATATATGAGTTGATTACTATTATTTAAAATTTGAAAGATTTAATTGAAAAAAATAAAAAGATAGATAATTAGATTGTAATTTCCTTTAAAAATAACCATGGAAGTAATATATCTAAAAATATAGAAAGAAATCAAATTATAAGATGGAATCTTATCATGATCAATTAAAAATTGACCTTGTTACCCTCCCTAATTTTGGACTTCAAATTCTCTTGATAAAAAAATAGTATATGGTCTTTTGTAAAGGTTTGATTCCATTCAATTAGAATTAATAGAGGCATGTAACTGTTAGGGGATGTTTTATTCATGGAATATAAGATTATTTTTGGATTAAAATTATTAGAATATAATATTATTTTGGAATGTTGTATTATTTTGTTTGGTTTGTTTAGTAAAAATATAAGATTTTAGTGTTTGATTAAAAGAATATACGATTATTTAAATGCATATTTTACTAAATTATCCTTTGATATATGTTTCTTTCAACAAGTTCAACTTTAATATTATAAATATTTGAATGAAAATTCATAGAAATATTTTAGTCGTTACACTATCTAACCTTTAAGAGAAAGAAAAATATATTTATCATATAATTAGTGTACTGAACTTATACTTTTAAATAATTTTCATAAGTATCATATTTATTTATATAAAATATAGTATAATATAAAATATAATATTATAGTTTTAAGTGAACAAATATATCATTTTGAATGTATAAGATTTTGATATAAATTTAATAATTACATTTTTAAAATAATATCATTTTTCTCATCTTATAAAATTATAAATAATTAATATATTTAGTATTAAAAATATAAAATAATTTTAACTACTTAAATTTATTAATATTTTACTAAATAAAACTCTTTATATATTCATGGATTTAAAGGGATGGGAAGAAAAGCCATTGATGGCGTTTAAATGTTAAATGCGTAGTGGGTGTATGTATTTATATCCGAGTGTTTAATTTGACTGTGGGGTCTACCCTCTCAAGAGGACAGCTATTTTCATTACTCCTCACTGCTTCCCTTTCTTTCTTTTTTTCTCTTTTTTTTTTTCTTGTTTAGTCCCCACCCTCAGCTCATTCATGACTTCTCTGTGTTGTCTTACATTTACCCACTTCTTGTCCCTAATTCCTTGATAACCCATTGTTTTAATCTCTTCTCCACTTCGGTTTTTTTTTTGTCTATGTTGTGTTGCAACTATTTGTTTTATCAAAGGAAGGAAGACATGAGTGCCGGGGTGTCTCTCAAGCACAGTTTCACCATCTTCCTGCTTAAATTGTTCATGTTTTTCGCCTGTGAGTGATTTCAAACACTCCTTTCTCGTGCCTTTACTCAGGGTTTTGCTTATATTGGCATGATCTTTCAGTTTTAACATTTGGATCATTGTTGTCAAGTTTCTTCTTTCTGGGGAATGCTAGGCTAAATTTCTTAATTTTTTCCTTGCGTACTTGGTCTTAAAGAAATGAATTCTTTTTGAAATTCAAGGCTTGTAAAGTTGTGTGTTTTATGTAGGAAGGTTCTTGATTGAGAACAGTGCTACATTAACTCATTGAACCTTTTACTTTGTTGCGTTATTGGTGCTTTGATTCTAATATATTGTAGGTGTTTGTGAATAGTTGATTTTAGTTAATAATTTTCTAGTGATTTATTGTAGTTTACCAGAGTTTCTGCTGACAACTACTTGAAATCTCAGCGTTGCTTGAATCTGAGATCTCTTGACTACTTATAAATTGTCTATTTTGAGGTTAGAGTGAGGAAACTGGGAACAGACATAGGCTATGTAGGTTTGATACTTAATTTTTCTTGAAATACTTGTGTTCAATGCATATCCGTATATAGGAATATAGCGATATGATCCTCCAAATATATAGAAAAATTAAGGGAAAATCAAATATAACAATGTTCGGCTAACACAAGACATAAGCATGTCTTATCAACGACATTGTAGTTCTGACCCTTTCTAAGCGCACTTTAAGGCGTAACTATAGCAGTTCTCAAATCCTGGATGAGTTTAAGATTTTTATGATTTTTCTTTCTCCCAAAGGTTGTAGATTACCTGTTGTTGCCTTTGTGTATCATCAGTGCAACACTGGAAATTTCACATCTTACTTCTCCGGTTATCTTAAACTACAATCCATGCCTTCGTTTCAGGCTTCCATGAATGTTTATCCAGCCCACTGGATCATCGTGAAGGTTATATGTTAACAGACCGCGCAACGGATGCTTTCTTACCTAAAATTACTCCAACCGCAGCTCCTCAGCCATTTCTTCCTCTGCTTGCACCTTCTCCACTGTCACCCTTCACAACTAGTGCTTCTCCTAAACTATCGGGTATGTTTTACGAAGTAGGGTAAACTGGAATGCGAAAGCTATTTGGATGTTAGTGTATAATTGTGGTTTCTGCTTGGCCTTTTGTAGGACTCTGTATGTTAAATTTCACTGCTGCTCAAAGCTTGATAAGCATCACCTCGATTGATTGTTGGGCTGCATTTGCTCCATTGTTGGCGAATGTAATATGTTGTCCTCAGCTACATGCTACTCTCGTGATTCTCGTTGGTCAATCAAGTAAAGAGACTGGCGTGCTTGCTCTAAACAGAACCCTTGCCAAGCCTTGCCTCTTAGATATTGAGCATGTCCTGACAGGCCAGGGCGCTGGTGAGAATCTCAAGCACATTTGCTCGATTCATCCATCAAAACTTACTGAAGCATCTTGTCCTGTAAAAGATGTCAACGAACTCGAGAACACCATAGACGCTTCCGAGCTTCTTGCTTCATGCAGAAAGATCGATCCCGTGAAAGAATGTTGTGACCAAGTTTGTCAAAGTGCCATATCGGATGCTGCAACAAAACTTGCCCTGAAAGCTTCTGATCCTTGGAGCATGGATGGGCCCCATGTTTTACCCCAGCATTCAACAAGGGTAAATGACTGTAAAACTGTCATCCTTCGGTGGTTGGCAAGTAAATTCGATCCTTATCATGCAAAGGAAGTTCTCAGAGGACTAGCCAATTGCAATGTCAATAAGGGTGAGTTTGGACTAAAGCATAGATGCATACATCTGTATTGGCTTCATATTTAAGTTCTTTTTCGATTTATTATGTGGTTGTCTTATGCTTCAGTTTGCCCTCTCGTTTACCCCAACATGAAGCACGTGGCAAACAGTTGTGGAAATGGGATAAGTGACCAGGCAGCTTGTTGTGATGCTATGAATAGCTACGTCTCTCACTTGCAAAAGCAGACCCTGATCACCAACTTACAAGCTTTGGATTGTGCTACCTCGCTCGGGTTGACGCTCCAGAAATTCAATATCACCAAAGATGTTTATAGCCTATGTCATATAAGCCTTAAGGATTTCTCCCTTCAAGGTTGGTTTTCTTGCTTGATGCAACCATGATGAGCAAACTGAAGTGATTGATTTGAATTCATATTGACACTTTATTCTTTTTGTCGCCATGATCAATTTTGGTTCCGATTACCAACAACTTGTATGCATCAGTGGGAAGCCAGGGTAAGATTCTTCTCCACTCGGAAATGGTAGCATAAATTTGGTTTTAGATACTGGGAATTTGTTCCTATGTGCATCTCTTATCTTTTACTGTGAATTCTAATATCTTTAGTTGGTACGTGAATTACGTTGAAACTCACTGTTTGGAATCTCGTGTTTTTAGCATTTCTAGCTTGTGTTTCTCTCCCATCCTTTAGATACTGGGAATTTGTTCCTCTGGTCATTGATGATTTTAACATGTCTAGCTTGTGTTTCTTTCCGTTGCTTTTAGCATCTGGATGCCTCTTGCCAAGCTTACCGTCAGACGCAACGTTGGACAAGTTTTCCGGGATCAGCTTCATTTGCGATCTGAACGATAATATTCCAGCTCAGTGGCCCTCTATGTCACTACTACCAGCTTCATCATGCAACACAAGTATGTACCCTTGAGTTTACCCCTAGTTCGAGTAGTTCATGTTGCAACATGATTTTGAATTAACTTGATGCTATTTCCCTCTCGCTGTCATTCATTAAATTTCACTCGGATTTCTGGCATGCAGCTGTGAGAATTCCTGCACTACCAGCGGCAACAAATGCTCAAAGTGGTAAGAAATAGACCTTTTACTAAAAAGGAAATGTCGATGTCTTCTGGCCATGCAGATTCTAAACATTTAATTGATTCCGGGCCTCTTTGCATCGCCGTTCTCTCTTTCGCAGGTCTTCACACTGGATATGCTGACGTTTATCTCCTCATCGCATCTTTGATGGCCATAACGATGCTCTTACAATTCTAGTTCGAGGCTAGGCTAAGTCGATCTTTTTCGAGAACCCCGTCATGCGACCAAAGCTGAAGATAACTGGAAGCAAGTCTTAAAAGAAAAAGTTGTATACTATGATACTGACAAAACTCCTTGTTTATATCAAGGTTTAAGCAGATGCCAGAGGGGGATTGAAGTTCGTGTCTGATCATATTTAATTCACGATTCTTGCAGGTGCAGAGTTTTGTGTAATAATATGTTGTAAAGTAAATAACATGGAGAAGACAGAAAGAACGTTTTAAAGTTCAAGAAATTTACTTCAGTATAGTAAAAATCTTATCTACTAATCAAAATTTACATGTTATAATTGAAAATACAGATATAGATACAAGACAGCATATTTAAACACACATATCAAACTGTAAACACGTGTGTCCCTACCTCATGAATAGTTTTTTTTATCATGTCAAATCCATATTTAGGGATTCAATTAAGATCGAATTATTACAATACTGATATTTTAGTGTTGAAATCTAGAGACTGGTTTAGACTACGAGAAATAATATAGGGGCTTTTAGTGCAATTAACCCTACATATTATATAAACTTAGTATGGTTAATTCGTCCATTCATTTAGCCATAAAAATGGTTGAGAAAAGGGACAGAGAATAGGTGCTAAAGTAATGGATGTTGCCTTCCAGTGTAAACCAGCATCAAGAATCACTTTACATGTAATGTACACACACATCCGTGAAAAGAATATAAAGGGAAAGGAGCCAAAACGTCACGTTCCTCCATTGTATTAAATTACTGATACGATATTTATTACGAATGTGATTACAATATCGTAATAATTATCGTGAACATGATCTGCTAGTGTTTATAATATAGTGCGATGTGTTTTTTTAATCAGAGATAAACTGAAGGAGAGTAAGTGGGCAGTCATCTCTTGAAAATTTAAAATTAGTATATATTTTAGATATTTTCTATGTTTAATATTGATAATATGTTTTATCTTTAAAATTTTATAAATTCATTTTACTTTAAAATTTATTCTCTAATATAAAATAATATGTTCGATACATTTTTTCTATCCATTTCCTTAAAGGGCTGAAGCTAGCTAATTAGTAGTATATGTAAGTATCCACCATAGCTACTTAGCTAGGAACTCTACAACTGCTAGGTTAAAGCGATGGATTCTCAACAGGACCTGAATCAGCCAGTCTTGATCAACTCCATGCATGACCATCAGCCACTAACACCTGAATCCATTCACTGTGCCGTCCATGGGGTCGACTCGAGTCTCGAGCGAGTTTTATCGGACAACGAGCTTTCATTTTGCAAGCGTCTAGGATTGGCTTCATGGATTGAACTCAGACTCCTCTTTCGCTTGGCTGGACCTGCTGTTTTTGTTTATATGATCAACAATACCATGTCTTTATCCACTCGTGTCTTTTGTGGTCATCTAGGCAACCTTGAGCTTGCAGCCGCCTCTCTCGGCAATAGCGGCATTCAACTCCTCGCTTATGGCCTTATGGTACCATATAAATATAATCCCTTCTTTCTGTTCTTTATATTATGCTCGCCATCAGACAGACGCGAAATTTTATGTAAATAGTTCGTATCATTAGTCCTCTCTGTCCATCCCTACTTACGATCGAGCTTTCCTTGTGTGAAAATATAAAACTTTTGCAGCTAGGAATGGGAAGTGCAGTCGAGACACTTTGCGGACAAGCTTACGGGGCTCACAGGTTCTCAATGCTAGGGGTTTATCTTCAAAGATCAACCGTTGTCCTTACTCTAACAGGGATCCCATTAATACTAGCCTATGTGTTCTCGAAGCCAATCATGATCTTACTCGGCGAATCCAAAGAGGTAGCATCCGCAGCTGCCATTTTTGTCTACGGCCTGATCCCACAAATCTTCGCTTACGCCGTCAACTTCCCGATCCAAAAGTTTCTCCAATCCCAAAGCATCGTGAACCCGAGTGCATACATCTCGGCCGCCACGCTCGTGGCGCACATATTGTTAAGTTGGCTGGCGGTTTATAAGCTTGGTCTGGGGTTGATTGGCGCATCTCTGGTGCTGAGCCTGTCATGGTGGATCATAGTGGTGGCACAGGTGGTCTATATCTTGATGAGTGAAAAGTGTAGGCTTACATGGGTTGGCCTGAGCTTACAGGCCTTTTCTGGTCTATGGGATTTTCTGAAATTCTCGATCGGTTCGGCCGTGATGCTGTGCTTGGAGATTTGGTACATGCAGATACTGGTGTTGGTTGCTGGTTTGCTGGAGAAGCCTGAGCTTGCATTGGACTCTCTTTCTATATGGTAAAGAAATTTAATTATCAACCCAAGTCTAATGCTTTATATTGATAATTAAGGTAATTAATTATCCTAGTTTGCCTTTTGGCAGTCACTATCCTAATCTTGTTAGGCAGAAACTCCACCTTCCATGCAGATTGCTTGATTGTTTAATTAATTAGGTATCTTTGTTTTCTAGTAATTCCATGGACTACTATGCGTTGTCAATGGAAGTGATAGTGTTTAGACTCATAAAGTAGTAAGATTTCTGCCGCTAGAAGGAAAGGTGAAAAGAGATGGAATAAAGTCTTGCCCCAGATATTTCTTACTTTAATCAGATATATATATTTTTATTTATCTTCACTATTTGTGACGTGTAATCGAACACATTTAAAAATCCTACGAAATATGAATAAATTTAGTTATTTAATTGACCATGAATTAATTAATTAATCAATGTTGGTTGAGATGGTGCAGCATGTCAATATCCACCTTGATGCTCATGGTTTCAGTTGGGTTCAATGCAGCTGCAAGGTTCGTCACTTTCTGGACAGCTCTAGTTTTTCTCTTCAATAATTCCATTTTCAAAAAGGAACAAAAATTAAGTTTCAATTAAAAAATGATTAAAAATTATTATATTATATTTAATTTATCAGAATCCAGTGCTTGTATTTATTGAACACTAAATAAACTTTGCAAGCGTTTATGTTTTCACTGAAAACAGTGTTAGGGTGAGCAATGAGCTGGGCGCCGGCCACCCCAAGTCGGCAGCATTCACAGTTACCGTCGTGACTTTGGTTTCCTTAAGCATTGCTGTCGTAGAAGCCGTCGTCGTTTTAGCTCTACGCCATGTGATTAGCTTTGCATTTACGGAAGGTGAGACCGTGGCCGAGGCAGTGTCGGACCTATGCCCATTCTTGGCCGTCACTCTTGTTCTTAATGGGGTTCAACCTGTCTTGTCCGGTAAGAAACATTTTTTGGGTCTATTTATGCCTTTAGTCCCTCCATTCTACGGATTTAAAATTTAATCCTTTAATTGATAATGTTATTAATAGATCTAAATTGATAGTGCTGTTAGTTCATGCCTTTCAAGTAATTGAGTATAAATTTTTAAAAGATCAAGTATTTGTATGACATGAAAAATTTATTACTGGTTGAATAGATTTTCATTATCTCTGGTTGTGTGACCGAATAACCGTTAAGAAAATGTACAACATCACTTCAACAACTAACAATATTATCAATTAGTTAATAAAAAACAATATTATCAATTAGAACTTACTAATAATAGATTAAAAGTGAGGGGATTAAATTATGTCAAAATAAAGTTTAGAGATTAAATCTTAAAATTTGAAAATAGTAGAGGGACTAAATCTAGAATTGAGCAACAAAAGCTAGTAATTGAGATATGATTGGAATTGCATTGCAGGGGTGGCTGTTGGGTGTGGATGGCAAACATTTGTTGCATATGTAAACGTGGGATGCTACTACGTTGTAGGGATCCCTCTGGGGTGCGTTCTAGGCTTTAAGTACAATCTTGGGGCAAAGGTAAAAACTGACACTCCACTTGAATCCATAATCTTCAAAATTCTTTAAAATACTGATGTCAATTAAATTAATACTCAATTGAATCCTCTATTTTTTTTAATCTGTAAGTTCTTTAAGATATTCGAATCTTCGAGCAGGGAATATGGTCTGGGATGATTGGAGGAACATTGATGCAGACCCTCATTTTATTGTGGGTGACATTTACTACAGATTGGAACAAAGAGGCAAGTAGTCCCTTTCAAACGTTTCATCCACTTAATTTTGTTATTCATGTACTGATATGCCTCATTTTTGCGGTTAATTTATGGTTTCGGTCTACCTACTACACTCAAACTTGAAATTTAGTCCCCATATTTTAAATTTAACATAAGTCGACCCCTGTACATAACATTATTAACCATTTGAACAGACTAATGACATTATAAAAGTAAAGAAATGAAATTTTGTCAAATTAAAGTACATGGACTAAATCCCAAATTTGACCTAATTTTCATGCCTATTAACACCCTAAATGAAGAATTGATGAACCTGCTGAAATTTCAGGTGGAACAACCAAGAAGCGGTTGGACAAATGGGAAGATAAGGAGCCTCTTCTAAAGAAGTAAAGATTATTAAGCTTTACCTGCATATGCATCACAAAGTTGAAGAAATGAATCAGGACTCGATTAACCCACCACAAATAAGTCAAAATGCCAATGCCATGGCATTTTGCTCATACTACCATCAAATGGTTTGCTTATTGTAGCTTTCGGGCTTATAAGCCTCGAAATACGGTTGGCTTGAACTCACAGCTGAGAGTTTACAGTTCTCTAGAGTTTGATTGATTATATAAAACATAAACTAAGTTCCCCACCATGCTCTACTCAAGTATATAATTCTTCCTGGCAAGGGGTAGGAGGTAGGGATTGTCCGATGATTGAACCTACCATCGAACCCAAGGTAGGTGTCAACTGAAGACTTGAACACAAGTCCTTTGCCACTCCACTTGTGGTTTAGTCGACATACCCTAAGTAATGTTAATTATGAGTTAAGTTCATACAGAAAGGAGTATATACAGCTACTTAAAATTGTGTCGTAGAGAGACCAAAAACTGCGGAATAATTTCCATTCACTATAGTAGTTCACGAAACGAAAGTCATAAGGGCCTCATCTGAACATTTTCATTTTATAAAACAAACATCAAGAGAGATGACAACCTTGATAATAAAAGCAATGAGTGCTCACCTTGAGCAATGATGATTTTTTCTTTCTGCTGCTACTGGAACTAAAAAAAACCCCAAGCAATTTTGGATCAGTCGGTATAAATCTTCGCATTTCAAATTGCAGTCGATGTAGTTGTTTTTTGTGTTGGGCTGTTGGCTGGTCTTTGGTGTTATAAATCAATGCAAATCAGCATCAATCTTACTGCCTGCCGTTGGATTTGCCTCATTTATTCATATCATCCCTACTTGGCGTAGAAGCGGATCTAATCATATATTTGCATGCCCTGAACATATACTTATCAAAACCATCAGATATTAAAAAAATGTTAACAATAAATTAAGAAGCATATATAGAGTAGAAAAAATCACAAATTCCACAATCTTATATGGATTCCAAAGGTGAATTCATATAGAAGCAAGATTGCGACATGTCTACAAGAAGCATGCAAATGCAGCTATCATACCGTAAAAGTGTTAAGTCGAGGTGCTAATCCAGGTAACTCATTTGAATTCACATAGAAAGCTTCCATATTGAACATATTAGTTCTATACAAAGTAAGAATCTTAACACTTGGAAATGGGTGCCGTTTCGGAAAAAGCACACCATTCGAAAGAGTGCAAACTGGACCTTTGTCAGACGAGAGTCCAATAGATAAAAGTATAGAATCTTGAACCTACAAGTGAAAACATATGACAAATGTTATAGCTTCATACATAAAATAACCCAATTAAGCACCAGTATGCATACAGATGCAAACATCTAAATTTAACTCTTATTTTTATTCAATGGAAGCCGCAAAACGTTGTACAAAGAAAAACTTCTGTGATACCAGAAGGTACTATTCCTTTCCTTTCTGATAATGAGGCTAAGAGATTAGAGATTGGCCTCCTATAGATATACTATTCGTAAAGTAACTCATCTTTCAAGAAAAAACAATAGTAAAGTAACTCCTAGTAAGTTCCAACCTCCTGGACAGGCTTGAGGAGCAGAGGAAAAGAAGCAATAGTAATCACTCCTAAAGCAATACATCCCAGAAGAAATCGAACCCCATGAATCCAGCACAACGGAATATAGTGCAAAGCAAACAGAAAATGGGTCCACATAAAAATAATATATGGTATTCATCTACGTAAGACATTTCATTTTCACATTCACCAAGAATTTCACCCAAAAAGACGAAAAAGGTAGAATTTAAGCATGAAGAGAGAGTGCATCCGTAATTCAGATGAATTTGAGTGAAAATGAGTGTCTGTGTGTTTAATAAGAATGCTATGACAGAACTCAGACAAGGAAACTCCTTTTTTCTTGTTTGTTTCCAGATCAAGAGACTGTCAGTTTATTTATAACACGTAAGAAAAGGATTTGATCAGAAGTAAAAGCTCAACGTAACGGAATCTAAAAAGCAATAATATGTTAAGAAACAAACCTCATATTCTCTGACACGGAATATTGGACTTAGCATCGCACACTGAAGAGCACAAGCACGAGCCACACACTCATTAGCGTTTATCGTTCGGCTAGGTTCTCGGTTAAATATAGAAGCTAAATTCTTGTAATTGCCAGAATTCGAGACCCTGATTCAACAAGCTCAACTGAATTGATTTTATCCAGAGTCAGACCAGAATCAGCCAAAACCTTGCGACAAGGGACAGTAATCCTTTCTAACAAGTCAGATGACAAATTCTCAAACTCCTCCCTCTTGATTAAACCCCTAACATCTTTCTCATCCATCAAGTACTCTATATTAAGTGGTGCTTCCGCATTTGCACTCAGGACCTTCTTCAGCTTCTCACACGATGCCCTCAACCTAACAGATGCCTTTATATTTGTATGAACATCAATGTTATACTGCTCCTGAAACTGAGATGCAAAGTGATTGAACAGAACTTCATCAAAGTCTCTTCCTCCCAAGCTTCTATCAAAAGCATGAGAAATGATTTTCATTGGTCCAGTCTCAAATGACGCAACACGGACCTGTGTGTCACAGTGACCAATATCCACAAACACAGAATAAACTGGACCCGAGTTAGAGAAATCAGTCTTGTAAATCCCGTATCCGAGTGCAGTGGCGGTACAATCATGCAACAATCTCAATGGCTTCAATCCAGCAATCACTGCTGCATCCAAATAAGCACGCCTCTGTAAATCAGTGAAGTAAGATGGAATCCCAATTACACAATCCAAAAAAGGCATTTCCAAATTCTTCTCAGCAATCTGCTTCAAATGTGAAAGCAACACCCCCAAAATCTGTACAGGAGTAAATTCGTGAACCTCTCCCATGAACTGTAACCAGATCGATATTCCACCGTCAGGGCTTTCGAAAGTTCCAAAAGGGAACAGCTTGAGCTCTTTCTCCAAATCAGATTCATTAAATTTCCTACCAATCAATTTCTTAACCTGCAAAATAGTGGACCTAGGATTCATCGTCGCAGAAGCCGCCCCAGCTGAGCCCATGAACCTTTGTTTCTCGCCCAACGAAACAACAGCAGGCGTTGTACCGCGTTGCTTAGCAACCGCAATAACACAGTTCTCGTTCCCGATATCAAACCCAACCACGCTTATTTTCTCTGTAATAAATTCAAACACCAGCACAAAATTTTCCAACAATTATCACATATTCATCAAATTTTCAAAAATATCCTATCCTTAAACAACTGCTTAAACTTTTCTCAACATCAAAAAGTAACCAAAAAGCTTCAAGTTTCCAGCACCGGAAGCAAAAATCACCTAAAATTAATTAAAAATAAGCTAATTAACCAAATATTTGAATCAAGTAATCAACTCTTATCATTGCTAAATGTACTATAAATCTAACAATGAAAACTTAAAAATTTATTTGTGTTATTAAACATAAAACTGAGCTTAAATGAGAGAGAGAGAGGAAGACGTTAAGCTTCTATCTTTGTATACAAATTCAGAGCTTCATTTTGCTTATGGGCTGCATTTTGTGCTGAGAATCAAACAGAGAACGTACGAAAATGAGCGATACCTGCTGAAAATTGTATAAGAGACTGTTTGGCTTTCTGAATCGAAATCGAAAAGTCTACTACATATGATACATCTCTCAGTATGAGCGAGTAAAAATGAAATGGAAGCATAAAGCGTTTCCGATCGAACGGGAAAATGTTTGGCCGTTTGTAAATAAGGGCGTGGCAAACAGTACCTAAGAAGAATTAACACACTAATATAATACTATTTGGTTTTCTTTTTCATTGACTGGTCTCTGAAAAATCCACGTCATCAATCAGAGAGTGGAGCCAAGGGAAACATTTGCAGGCTCAAAAACCTACCATTGGACAATATAATCTAGCCGTTCTTTAAATCATATTTAATACTTTAAAGTATTAAAAGTAAATTATTATTTCTTAAAAGAAAAACACGTAAATTACATTAGCCGGAAACAAACTCAGAACAAAATTAGAAATGAAGTCTAGATATAAGCGAAATACAACGGCGTAGAACTAATGACAGTCCATTGAGTGAGGCATCGTTGGTAGGATGGCGAATGCATCGAGCATGAATATAGGAGTAACCGAGCGGACATCCAATAACCATCGGGCTTCTTGTAAATGAAAACCTACCACGATAAATCAAGATGAAGATGAAACAATTGGTGGATCACATTAGCAGCATCATTCTCCATAATCACATCAGATCGGTCTAAAACCTATAAGAGCTTGTTCCTCCAAACTCGTCTTCAATAGGTCTAGAACGGACTGAGTATGGCCAGCAATAACCATATCCCTAAAATCCCGATCAAGGACCCCGACAGTCACAGCCCCAACAACAGCCACACACGCCTCATAAACATTGATCTTGAGAGTGTCTTGTGGAGGCTTAATCCAATGTGAGAGAGAAGCAGGGCGACACTTGTGTTGGATCATGCGCTACAGCATACAACTTAGACGACTGCAATGAACGAGCGTTAGTGAGGAGAATCCAACCAGGCTTGAGGCGAATCTCATGCAAAAACATATTTCACTGACTCCAAATGTTCCGCATCACGACCAACAACTTCGTGAACTGAACGAGGTCAACAATTTGCATCGCCTCTCAAGGCATGCCCCATACGAGACTTGTGGGAGGGATAAATTACGATAAAAAAAATCCTTCAGCGATAGGATATATTGAGCATCAACATATTCATGTAAAGCATGCAACACTGTTTCAGCACTAAACCTGTAATAAATAATTAACGACCAACAAGAAGTGCTTCATGCGCAACTCGCCAGCCAAACTATCATATTTTCGGGAGCATATGCAGCTTGGCCGTAACTTGCCAAAGCTTCAAAGCAACCCCAGGCACCCTACGTCGACGCATAAGCCAATGATATCCAGACCGTGTAGAATAAATATCAGTCAAATGATTAGTTCATATTAGAAAATCAATCGCTACATGAGAGTGGAGGCAGCATCGGATGCAGGAAACTACGTCTACCTAGTTTTCATTTTACGAAACAAAATCTGGGACCATGAATTCCCCTGATCAATACACCATCAACATATCGAGACTCAAGCCGAACATGAGAGGAACTGCCCCATCATTCCATATGCATTCGAACTTCGTTATTCATTCCGACACGCCAGTGGAACCCATAGCGTAATGCCTCCAATCGAGAGTCCAATACATTGCCAGTAGGAAATACTTTACGGACAACACGACTTTAGGGCTCATGGATGAATCTCCAGACTTGTTTACCAAGAAGCACTAGACTAGATGAGTGCAAATCACAAAATTCAAGTCCCCCTGCACGTTTTGGCTGGCAGAGGGTTTTCCAAGCAAGAAGCGACCAATCTCGATCATAAATATGGCCATACCATTAGTAATTACGCAGGACTGAAATAATATCGCTAAGAAGACAATCTAAAAATCTATTTCAATGGATTATTATTTGATATACAATTTGTATAAAATTTATTTTACACTCTGACTATTTAACACTAATCTTAAAACATAAAGCCTTAGACTCTAAATCTTAAATTTTAGAACTCTGAATCCTTAAAATCTAGAACCATAAATATTAAATTATAAAATCCTAAACCCTATAACTGAACTATAAAACATAAAGCCCTAAATCTTAAATAAAACCTCTAGCATTAGAATAAATAAATTGTGTAAAATAAATTTTACCAATCAAAATATTTCCTAAATAATTAATCCTTAATATTATTGTTGAATTTTGAGCTTTTAGATTGTCTCGTGGAATACACATGCACTTATCGGCCCATTGGGCCTCATAGATCAGGCCGAATAAGTATGCAGCCCGAAGAAACACCGATTCCTGGTTTCCTCACGTTTCGGTTCCCGCGAACGAAACGGCGTCTTCAAAAAAATAATAAATCAGAAATGAAAAATAATAAATAAACAGAGAGGAAAAGGAAATATAATTATATCTAAGGTATTTTTTTGATTTGTTTATTGATTTTCTCACCACCCATTTCTTCACTCAGATGATTTGTGGAATCTCTCTTATCAACGAAAGCAGGTACGTTATTTTCATTTAAAAACTGTAATTTGTTTTCAAAAAAAATTATCATTGCGTTAATATTTTTTGTTTAATATTAAATATTTCGTTAATGGAAAAACATGAGATAAACAACTGATTAGTACCCAATGTGATATTTTTCACTATTGAATCTAATGAGATATTTGAAATGTGTAAAAAGGGTGTTTATTTTCTTAATATTTGCTTGATTTGAGTTATGATTAAAGGGTTAAAATTTGTTTATTTTTTCCCAAGATCAATGTAGTTTTGTTGGGAAAAATGAAGGTTGTTGTCTTGAAATGTAGAGGCTTTGTCCTATGTTGCTCTTGTTCTTCATTTTTCTACAAGTACTTGTGTCTGACACTCGTCTCTACACATGTATACGAGGATATGACATCCAAGGATCCTTCAAATAACACCTGTGTTAAATATACCCGTATGTAAGAGTTCGAGAAATTGATATTGTTTTATTGAAAAGTGTTTCAGGTTCTGTGTTTGTTTTGCACAATTATTTGAACCGTCTCTTTCATGGTTACTGTTTGTGATTTTCCCTATAAATCCTTTCCCTCAGGCAATGTTTTAGCTCTTTTGTGTACCATTCCACGTTGAAAATTACTTGTATGAGAAAATTGTTGTTCTCAAATCTCAATGTCCCTGATAATGTGAGATTTGGGCTAAGAAGTCATGGTTCAAACTGGGGATTTGCTTAGAATTTCAATGGCAGTATCGTCAACCTGTACATTGCCTGCAAAAAAAGAAAAAAGGGGGTGGGGTAGTGAGAAGAAAAGGAAAATCAGGCCAAACATGTGCCTTTAACTATGGCAATTCATCATGATATGAAATATGTACCAGGATTTCTAGGTACTGCTTACACTTTACTATTAAAAACCTAGCAACATCTGTCATGAATGTGTATCTTCTGCTTAGGTGTCCGAGAATCGAACCCGGGGTTGTGTGAGTGTCAACTGAAGACTTGATATCAAGTCCATTGTCACTCACTCTTGGTTCAACTGACTTCACAATGTCAGGCTTGTATAATTGAATTTATACCCATCTGGTTTGTTCTTTGAATCTAACCAATACATATACAACCTTCTGAAATGCATAGTTCATCAGCAATGGCTCATTCATTGATCAGAGGATATTAGCGTTCAAATCTAACCCATTTGTAGCGTCCAGAGGATTGCCTGATATTATATAGTTTGGGATACTCTAATTCAACTGCAGTTTTATGCCAATTTTCTAATGCACTTGGTTTTTCTGTGGTGACATTGATGAACAAAGTTCTAGTTGCTTTTTGATTGCAGGTAAACTCAAGAAAATTATTGCAAAAGGAATTACAGTAAGATAGTAGAAAGGGGGTTGTGCATCTATTTGTGCAGGATGAACAGCCAGAATCAAGGGTTTAGCTTATCTTCTGCAGCAGAGCCTCCTATGAGGCGGAAACGTGGGCGTCCACGGAAGGATGAGATCGTTCAAGGGGACAACTCACCTGTGACATCAGCATCTGAAACTCTGAACAAAAGCAAGCTTAGTGTGGAAACGGTGACTCTGTCTCTGATGACATAGTAGGCCAGATGGTTTCAGGTGTCATCGAAGGTTCATTCGATGCTGGGTATCTTCTTAATGTTAAGGTAGGTGAGACCAACACGCATCTTAGAGGTGTTGTATTCCTACCAGGGCGATTCACTCCAATTACTGCTGCAAATGATGTGGCTCCACAGGCTAAGATGTATAAAAGAAAAGAGATCCCTTTCCCGTTTGTAAGCCCTCAAGGTCATCTCCATCCTGTGAGTCCTACATCAGGGAAAAGTGAGAAGCCAATAGAGCATAAAAACGACACAACTAAAGTTCCAGACCAAAGTCTACATATAGGGCTTCAGTCTGGTGCCACGGCTGCTAATGAAAGCCAATCTGCTTCCAGTCTAATTCCTCCAGCTAGTAACTTGCCAATAAATGACACTGGTCTTCCCTTGGGACAAAGGGTCTTGCAAGACCTTATCGCAGATATTGGATTGCAGAATGGTAAAGCTGTTGGATTTGAAGCCTTCAAACCAGTGAAAGGAACAAATTTTAATGTAGATGCACCTAAAGTGTCTGAGTCAGTGTCTGCAACATTTACTGCTAGTTTGCCTGTTACTGATACTGTTAATCCGAAGCCTCAAGTTGAACACTGGGCCGTGAGTTCTGATCTTAAGTCACAAAAATTGGTTGGTGAAGAGAAAAGCCTTGACCTTGTTAACGACCAAAACCCTAAATTTCCTGATCCTGAATCTCAAGCAATGCCTTGTGAACACTCTGGAATCAACATGTTTGGAAAACAGGCTTCTAATTTCCAGAAACTCAAGCAACGCATTGTGAACCCACTGGAATAAACATGTTTGGGCAACAGGCTTCTAAATTTTCTGAACCTGGAACCCAAGTTATGCCCTGTGAACCCACTGGAATCAACATGTTTGGGAAACAAACTTCTAAGTTTCCAGGACTCCAATCTCAAGTTATACCTTCTGAACCCCTAGGAATCAACATGTTCGGGAAACAAGCTTCTAAATTTCCTGGACCTGAATCCCAAGCTTTGCCCTGTGAACCCCCTCAAATGAACATGTTCGAAAAGCAGTCTTCAAAATTTCCTGAACCTGATCCTCAAGCCATGCCCTCTGAACCCACTGGGACCATTTTTGGGAATCAAACTTCTAAATTTCATGAACTTGAACCTGCTAGAAACAATATTTTGGGAAACACGCTTCTAAATTTCCTGAACCTGATTCTCAAGCCATATCTTGTGAACCCATTGGACTTAACATGTTCGGAAAACAAACATCTAAATTTCTTGAACCTGGACCCCGAACGATACCATGTGAACTTACTGGATTCAACATGTTCAGAAATCAGCTTCTAAATTTCTGGAACTTGAACCCCAAGCAATACCATGTGAAGCCGGAATCAACATGCTGGGAAAACAGGCTTCCCAATTTCCCGAACCACAAGCCATACCTCATGAACCTACTGGAATCAACATGTTCGAAAAACATGAGTCCCATTTTCCTGAACCTCAACCTTATGAAACTACTGGATTCAACATGTTCGGAAAACAGGTATCGTCAAGGCAAGATATAGGTGTTTCACAAGACACTCAGTTGGAGCTTGCTAAAAAGATTATGACTGTTGCTGACGTGCCTCACACACATGGATTTTTTGCAAGTGATGCTGCAACTACTGAAACAGCTCCATGCTCTGCATCAATGGCTAGCCTTCCAATAATGATATTTGGGGCTGAAAATATACCATCCGGGCACAAGCCTGCCACTGAAGAATCTATTCTTCAAAGAATGGTTGTACCTGAAGCCAGTAGTTCCTCGATGGCCGTCAACAACAACAGCGTGGAATCTAATGCCAAAGATGCCATTCCACCAGCACAGTTTTAGCTGTTTAGTTCCACCAGAACAGAACAAGTCGAGGCCTAAGGGTTACTAGCGTATACCATTGGTAAGAATAGTGCAGTCTTAAGGCAAATTACTTGATGCATGTCTCTAATTTGGATTATTTGTACTCTTTGCAATCTGTCCTTTACTTTCTTGACTTCACTTCTATTCCTAATTTGGATTATTTGTACTCTTAAGTACCTAATCTGTCCAGTTTCTATGTAAGCCTTGATCATGCTATTTTTGGTTAACATAACAATTCATTCAACCCATCGTTACAAAAACTAACCTAAAACTTTAAGACACCCAAACCACTACAACCCTATTCATTCATTAACGATCTTTATCATATTTCTCGCTTTGCTAATATTCTTATAAGAATCACTCTTACAAGAGACACTATGAGAGAATCCATCCAAAGAAAAAACGTCGTTTGAACATTTTCTTTCTTTGATTTTGAAAACTAAAGAATCTCGTCTGTAGTTATCGTTAGTTTAAACAGTGGCTAATTGAGCGGATTGTTCATAATTATACAGTGGTGTGTCGATCGATTCTGTCATTGCTAATTTTTTTCACACCCCTTTGTTTCATTTTTCTACGCGCCCTCTTCTTCGCTCTGTTTTTCTTCTTCGAAAGTAGGGTTAATAATTAAAAATACTTATTAGTAATAAAAAAATATTTTCTTTAAAATGAGAGTCAAAGCATCAATCAAAGCATGAACCTATGGTCACCTATGGTCAAAGGGTGTTAAACCAGTTACCCTACCTTGTCACATCATATTGGAGTTACATAACTAATGAACATTGATGATAAAGTAATCATTTTATTACAAGTTGATATGTCATATTTGTAACTTTAAAAAGTTAAACTTCAATGATGAAAAACATTATTCTAAATTTTAATGATTGTTGGTGTAGATTACTTTCTAATAAATTAGCTTCATTTAATTATATTTACTAGTACAAAGATTAACTTAATTTAGTTAATTGTAAAGGGATTAGTTTGAGCTAGTATCTATGATAGATGGACTAAATTGGTCGGTTTTATAACAGAGGGACTTGAGTGGTATTTTGACAAATACATTTATGGTAGCGTGTCTGACTCCAGATCAGAAGGCTGCGTGTTCGATTCACGTCGGGTTCAAATCCTGCTCAGTTAATGATCCAAAGTTTTTGTTCACACCCTCGCTTTTTTTCCTTTTTCATTTTTAACCCGTAAAAAATGCTCCTTTCTAAGTGATGACTGATCTCAAATGCAAAGACTGCTTGGTTCCTAGTGGGTAATGAGAAGATAATTTATTTTCGAAAACAATCATAGTTGTTTTGATTGTTAATTAGTGAAAGTTTCCTCTTCTCTGGATACTAAATTGTTGCATTGCTTGGACCACCAGGAATCACACCAGCTATGTTATTCTGAATGAAATCCTGTTATATATCAAGATGCATAATACTTATAATAGAATTGAAGCTGGTTTATCGTATTCAAGTCTGCGTATTTGTGGAATTAGCTAAACACTATGTTCTAAGAGTCAAAGTAGTAATCTCACATTCTCTTGCTGTTAACTAAAAATTGTGGTACATCTAACACCGTGTTTGATTTTTCCTAGGTTTTTGCAAGGGTTTGACAGGAACGTATGATGATTCGCATGGGCCACTTTTGCCACGTGCAAGTCTTCCCTCCAATTTTGACCATGCAAAATGGACGTAAGAGAAGGAGAAAGGTCCAATTATAGTTTTAGTCCCTATTCTATATTCTTCATAATTTGATCCCACTTTTATAATATTAGTAATAGATCTAATTTGATTGTTTTTCTCCAAACAATGCAATTTATATCATGGTAAAATACATCATATGTCGGAGATAAAAAATTTGATTTGGACTTTTGGAGTGTCAATTTTAGAAAGGATAAATTACAGGATTAGCCATTTTTGTTGAATTTTGTACATTTTTCTTCATTCAATTCAAAAAATATAATATTTGGTCACTTTCATTTTTATTTAATTAAGATGTGGTCACTGAGAATTAACTGTCGTCAGGCCTTTAATGGATTGCTGACGTGACCTAGTAAATTTATAAAAATAAAAAAGGTAAACTACATAAATGGTCACTAATGTTTGAACAAGTTTTTATTTTCTCACTAAAATTTCAGAAGTGACAAATTGTAAAATTGGTCAGTAAAACATCAAATAGTCATTGAACAATGATTTTATATCTAAGTTGACCCAAAAGTTTTTTAATTTTTCTTATTTTCCCAATGGTTATATATATACTTTTTAAATTTTAAAAAAAACTTAGAAATTAATTTTTTTTGACAAGAAGCAATCAATATTTCGAATTATAAACAAAAAATTAGAAAGCTTTGGGATAAGTTAGATACAAAATCATTGTTCAAGGACCTATTTGATATTTTACTAACCAATTTGTTACTTTTGAACTTTAGTGAGGAAAACGAGAATTTACTCAAACATTATTGATTATTTGTGTAGTTTACCCTTTTTAGTTTGATAAATTCATTGTGCACACACCAATCGTTAAAGGTTTAACAACAGTTAACCCTCAAGACCACATCTTAATAAATAAAAACGAAAGTGATCAAATCTTAATTAAATAAAAAAGTGATTAAATATTATGTTTTTTGAATTCAATGTGGAAAAGTGTACAACTTAAACGGAAATGATCAATCATGTAGTTTACCTATTTAAACATTATATGAAGAATTTTTGTAGGCGGGAAAATTGAGTTTTAAAATTTTATTATTAAATATTTTTTAAAAGGGTGTCAAAATATTTTTAAAGAGGTGTCATTTTTTCTTTTATTTTTTATATAATTCATTAAAAAATACTTTTGGGGTGTCAATCACGTACCGGCTCGGTCAGTGTATGCCATTCAATTATTAGTTTGATTACAAATAAGTTATTTTTTTATTTAAAAGTTATAATTTAATAAATCAATTAAAAAGATTCTTACAAACAAATCACTTACGATTAAATATCATATGGACATGACGTGATATAATAAAAATTTTAGTTCACTTGTGTTATAATGTATAAATCAATTAAAATGGTTATATTTATTGAATTATTTTGAATTAGAATAAAATTGATATAATGTATAAATTTTAAAGATTAAAACTATTGTTATACCAACCACATTAGACGTTTGTTTCAATTTTACCGAAATAATAATTTATTTATAATAATATTTTAATTGAGTGATTAAACTCCAACTTTGAAAAAAATACCCTTATACAATTGAATTAATAATTGAGTTATTTAAAATGTATAGTAATCTCCCATAAATAAGATTAAATCTAAACTTCAACTGGAGATGATTGAGTTGAATTCTAACTTTTCGAGTGGAACTCATTGTGAGCAGTGAGCACATGTATCCATTGAATACCCAAATTATGGAGAAGTTGTTGGGAGTTGGTCTCAGATTTGTTTAAATGGAATTGAAGTGAACCCGTCAGTTCTTTCTGTTTTTCACTTGGGGTTTCAAAACTCGCCTCTTTGTTTTGTTTGCCACCATTTTTAATAATTCTGGCATTGGGGATTGGAGTGGGAAAGTGGGGAGGAAAATGAGTTGTTTCTCTTGTTGTGGAGTGGAGCTGCATCAACGTACTGGTTCTCTTCAGGAGACTGCTTATGGCGGCATTGGTAGCAATAACTGCAATAACAATGGGAAATCATTGAGGTCTTTGCTCAATAATTTGTCAAGCAAAACAGGTAATATTTGCTATCTTATGATGCAAATGAAACCCAGATGATCTTGTAGTGCTTGTTTACGTTTAAATGACTCATTGAGGCCGTTCCCTGTTAGAGCATCATGCTGATAACACGATAAAGTGAAAGGTACTGTGTTTTACCGGATGCTCTTGTGCTTATTTGACCATTTAAATCGACGTGCAGGCAGTGGCAATCAGAAAATAGCTAAAGAGATTCAAAAAGTTGGAAAAGCTAAAGTTTCAGCTCATATTTTCACGTTTAGAGAACTAATTGTTGCTACAGACAACTTCAATCCTGATTGTCTGATAGGGGAAGGTGGATTTGGCAGAGTCTACAAAGGATACATAGAGAACATTGACAAAGTATACATACATATATATATATTCTCTAACTGTTTCGTGCATGTAGTTGATATGAATGACACTGAGAGTTCACAAGTTGTGTGCTTGGTTTAACTTCTTAGATTGTGAGCAGCTCGATCGGAATGGATTGCAAGGAAGCAGAGAACTCTTCTCAGAGATTCTAATGTTAAGTCTGGTTAACCACCCGAACCTAGTGAACCTGATTGGCTATTGTGCAGATGGGGATCAAAGGATTTTAGTTTATGAATACCTGGCAAATGGATCTTTGGAATATCATCTTCTTGGTATGTTAACATGGCACTCCTTTCACTTATTTAGAACTCATTTATACCAGTGGATTCTGATTATATTATCTGTTTATTTAGATGTACCTCCAGGTAAGGAGCCATTGGATTGGAATACAAGGATGAAAGTAGCTGAAGGAGCGGCGAAAGGGCTAGAATACCTACTTTCGTAACCGTTTTTCGTCCGGGCACGAATTTTTTACTTGGCGGGAAAAGTGATGTGAATAAATGGTTTTTAAAATAATTTGGGAGTCGTCATCGGCATTTTGGGTCAAGTAAGTCGAATACCTAAAAATCATCCTTTAAAAGAGTTTTTAAGAAAACATCGATTAAAAGATAAACTGATATGTGTTTTAACCAAAAATTCGTTCTTTTTAATAATAAAAAGGGATTCGTGGTCGGTTACGTTTAGGGAATGATTAGCACCCCTACAACGCCCAAAATTGGTACTTTTTAATTATAAATTGTCTCTATTATTAGAAATTTAAAAATTCAAAATATATTTAATTTATAATCATGTTATTTCAAATTTATTAATATAACTGAAAGAAAAAATATATATATATATATATATAATAACATATCAGAAAAGGGCTTCTAGGTGCTTTAAGACAGCTCTTTCTTTTGATATTAAATAAATAAATAAATACAAATAAAAAATAATAAAAAATTATTTTAATATAGTAAGATATTTATTTATTTAAAAATATTAGAAAATAGTTTCTAGTTGCTTTAAGACAACTCTTTCATTCAATATTGATAAATAAATAAATAAATAAATATTAAAATATGTAATAATTTTTCCTAAAAATAATTTAAATAAAACTAAATTATATTTTAATATTAATTATTTAAAATACCAGAATAGGACATCCAGTTGTATTAAGACTGCCATTTTCTTTGATATTGAAAATAAATAAAAATTATTATTTAAAAATATATATATTTATGCGACTAATATGAAAATAATAATAAAATAATATAAAAGTAATGACAAAATAATAAATAAATAATGATTAAAAAGTAATAATATTAAATTGCAAAATATAAAAAAAATAAGGGTCAAAAATGAAAAGAAACAAAATATTGGTGACTAAAAAGTAAAATATCAAAATTAAAGGGAATATTTTGAATTATTATAAAAATATAATTATTAATAGTGTAATTTAAACTAATTAATTATAGTTGATTAAGATAAATATTAATTAAACTATGAGGGACTAAAAGGGTATTTACCCTAATAACATAAAATCAGGTAAGGACTAAAACATAATAAAATAAATTCGAAGACTGAATTAAAACGTTCAGAAGTTAGTTCAATGACTAAAATGAATAATTACAAAACTCGGATGGTGGAGGAAAAGGTTAACCCATCAGCGAAATTACATAAACACCCTCCCCAAAACGGCGTCGTTTGGGAGAGGGTATTTAAACCCAAAACCGCCTGGCCCTACGGGCCATTGTTCTCATTTCTTCATTTCCTCTTCTCTCTCAAAACTGAGAGAGCCAGAGTTCTCTCTGGCTTCTCTCTAAAATGAGAAAACACAGTCCCGGTCAGCCACCGCTTCCGGGCTCCGACCACCGCTAACGATGGCCGAAAAATTCTAAAATACACCAAAATGAGGCCCTAAATACCCTAAAGCCAAAACCGAGGCCCGTTTAGCCTAAAAATCTTTAACCCGACCTAGATCTAAGCTTGTTACCTTCGGTATTTTGGTTTTTTAACAGCGTAGGGAGACCTCGATGACAATAATCTCCTCGGTAAGTCTCTCTCTTTCTCTTACTTTCTGTATTTGGCTGCTGTGGGTGGTTGATGTCTGTTCGTGTTCGTCGTTGTTGTGGTCTCTTGTTCTCCGTTGCTCTTTGTCTGTGTGTTAGTTGCCCCTCTCCTCGTTTTTTTTTTTTTGCAGGAGATGGTGGTTTTAATAGCCACCACCGGTGATGGCTTCAGACCGGTCCCAATGAGGTATCATAACCCTAGGGTTTCTTTCTGGAGGGTTCTAGACCGTTGGATCATAGCCAGATCCAACGGCTAATAGCTGATGGGGGCTGCTGGAATGAGGCGGCTGGGATAGGGTTGAGAAACCCTAGCTAAAACCCCAAATTATTTCAGGGTTTCCATTTGGGTCTGGGCCGATTGGGTCATTTTTGGGCCATCCGGGATTATTGGGCCTCTGATGTAATTTGTAATATATATATATATATATTTAATAATAAATAATAATAATAATATATTATATTAATAATAATTATAATAATTATTATGAAAGTCTACACCACGATTTCACTGATCCGCTGATAATTTATTGCGACTTTAAAGCATCAAACCTACTACTAGATGAGAACTTCAATCCCAAACTCTCTGAATTCGGACTTGCAAAGTTGGGCCCTACTGGAGGGAAGGACCATGTATCAACAAGGGTCATGGGGACCTCTGGTTATTGTGCTCCGGAATATGCAATGACAGGCCAGCTCACAACAAAATCCAATGTTCACGGTTTCGGTGTAGTGTTTGTGGAGCTCATCTCAGGTAGGAGATTTATCGATATTGAAAGGCCGGGGGAAGAACAAAATCTGATTGCTTGGGTATGTTCATCGAACCCTGATTAATCAGTTGTTTATAATACCAAACAAGAATGTGATCTTCGCAAGCTTTTAGAGTTTAACCACTGATTTAAGTTCATTAATCTAGGTTTATCATTCATTATTCCTCAACATTGCAGGCAGAGCCATTACTGAAGGATAGGAAGAAGTTCACAATGATTGCGGATCCTCTGCTTAAAGAGAATTACCCTGTAAAGGTTCTTTATCAAGCTCTTGCAGTCGCAGTCATGTGTCTTCAAGAGAATGCTAATAGCCGCACGTTGATTGGTGATGTTGTAACGGCCGTCGAGTTTCTTGCCAAACCAAAGAACAATGACAAAATTGCTGCAGAATCACAAAGAAACAACAGCTTGCGTGTTAAGTCCGTGAGAGTTGGAAGTTTCAAACGAGACCATGGCTTGTAGCTACCGTAGCCGGGGTGAACAATCTTGAAGCTTGAAGAAATTGCACAACTGAACAAGCAGAACACATAACAACATCGTAAAAGTATAAATTTCCATATCTTTACTGTAAAAATAGTACTCTTGTATCTGTAATTTTTTATAGGCATACAACAGCTTTGGCCCCGGAATCTGAAAAGCCTTAATTAAATTTGCAGAAATCCAGGTTGATTACAAACAAACTGACCCAAACATTCTATTTCAACACAAATCATGCCCGAATAATCTTAAAAAATATATAAAAGAGAAAGAAAAAAGGGTTGTTCGGGATCGAATCCGAAATTTAATGGATTTCATTTCAAGAAAGGCTGTTGTTAGCATCATTTGCTTGCTGGTGGTACTTTACGATTTCATTTCAAGAAAAGGCTGTTGTTAGCATCATTTGCTTGCTGGTGGTACTTTACATTCGAATGCTCTGCCAAGAATTTTTGTACCAAGTTCTGATATTTTGGTGTTCTCGTTAAGGTCTTATAGTCAACATGGTGAAGCCCGAACTGAACTGTATATCCATTGTTCCATTCAAAGTTGTCTAGCAAAGACCAGGCAAAGTAACCTTCACGTTGCTCCTTCCCTAATAGCATTCAAGAGAACAACATTATCTCTCATGTTCTGTTGACACGATATTATTACTAAACTAACGTTTACCTGATTGCTGTTGCCAGTGCATCCAAGTATGCGGCATGTACTCTGCTCGTTTTCACATCATGCAAAAGTTCTTCAGTGGTGGAATCTGCTTAAGCTTGTTACCATATCCTACGTGGAACACCATACATTATGAGTGCATAGGTAAGTTTTTTGCATTTAAATGACACATTTTTTTTCTCACCATTTTCAGTAATGATCATAGGTATGTTAGGGTATTTCTCCTTGAGATCGTTAAATCTTCTCCAGTCCTTGAGGATAAACATTCTGCCAAACCACCTCACCCTGCGTAGCCGAAAGAATTCAGTTGTTAGCTTAACTTATGCAACATGACTGTGATATCACACAATAAGGTTACTTACAGGCTCTCCCATAGGGATGCCATTTTTCTGTGAGCTTTTGCCCAAATCCTTCCGTCTTCGAGGTTCCGTCTCCTGGTTCACATGCGGAGAACATGCAATCCCGGACATAGTAACTGGTGTAGTGGTTGACTCCGATAAAATCGAGCCCTTTACCCAACTTCTGCTTCTCGGTTGTTGAAATCAGGTAAAATAGATCCTAGAATGTTTTGCATTTCAGGAGGATATCTTCCGAATATGATTGGCTCCAGGAACCTATATGTAAGTTTAGTAAAATATAAGATGCATCTCAAGTCTTAACTCTACGATACGTTCTCAATCCTCGAACCGTGGCCTCTTCTGTAATGAAAATCGAGAAGATAATGGTGAAGAAACCTCCAATTGATGGTGAAGGGCAGAGCTCTTTCAGCTGCTAGCTTATCATCTCCTGTAGAGTCACTGATCGGTTCGTACCAAGAGCATTGCAAGACGATTCCAATGCTACCTCCTTGCGTTTCCTAGAGATTAAAACCATAAGCGTTGTTGCTTATTGGTTAAGCTCACATTGGTTTAACAATTAGATGTTTATGCATTAATGGTACTGTGAAAATGTGGGATGCCATTTTCAGCACATGAAAGATCTGAAACTTAAACAAGATAGTTACTGTGATTGAGGACTCAGCCAACTTCCATATATGTCTTCAAGTTTTTGAGGAAAATCGAAGTGGGTCAGTGTTATAAACGGTTGAATGCCTACAGAAAGTGTCAGAAACCGTCAAGGCACGGCATTTTCCTTGAAAACATAAGAACAGTCATCCGAGAAAGGAAAATGAACCTTTAACTAGGAGAGTTTCGATAAGGTTATCGTAGAATTCGATACCGGCTTCGTTGATTTCCCCGAATCTCCCTTCTGTTTTCATCACAAGTCTTGTTTCGGTTAACTAGAACTTACACTTTGACAGATCATAAATGACACTTTCAAAAGACTTACTAGGTAAAATTCTAGCCCAAGAAATGGAGAACCGATAGCTTTTGACTCCAAGCGAATGCATGAGATCAATGTCTTCCTACATGATAACATCACCAACAATCTTATGCCACGTAAAAAGATAATTCCAGTTTATATACTCGTAACCGACGATGAGTCGGCATACCAAATAGCGATGATAATGATCCACAGCTATGTCTCCATTGCTTCCGTCGATGATCTTATTTCCTGCAATCTCATGTATCATCATATGTTTTCCATTTTTAAAATAGAAATTAAAGTTTAATAATATTATTATATTATTCCTATTCAAATGTTGGATTTTGTCTAAATCCAAAGTTATTTTTCGAATTATAGAAGGGTTCGAAGAAAAATATCTTACCAGTTTCAAACTGTATGAATAGACTTCAGAATTTAAAGTTCAAGGTTTGGGTCTGATGGATCCATTTTCTAAAATTATAATATATTATATAATTTATCACATAAAACTTAGATATATGATATAATTTAACCATTTATACTTAAAATAGATATTATTATGTAATTACGTATAGTTTAATAAAAAAATTAACCATTTGAAAACATAAAAAATATGTAAAATTATTAAATATTAAATTAAAAATAATTTGTTTAAGTCCAAAAGAAAATTGAATTAATCATTTATAGATATAAATAGATATAAATAAAATCCAAAATCCATATTCCAGACTAAATTAAACTTTAACAAATATAAAATATATTATAATTATATATAAACTTAATTAAAACTCGACCAGTCCAAATCAAATCTAAACGAATCCTGCCATCATATCATATATAGATTTTTTTTGTTTATTTTAATAAATTTGGTTACCATGTGCGAATTTAAAAAGATGGAATATTTTGGGACTCGAAATTCAAATATATTTTTTGGGGTTCAGGACATTATTTATTTAATTTAAATACTAATGATTAGAGCTTATGCGTAAAAATCCAAAACGTTAGGTAGCTAAGAACAAAATAATAAGCAGTAATTAAGTGCTTAGATTTTAAAAAATTATCAAATATTGTTTCAAATTAAATTATACAAAGTAATTTTACTACAAATTAGTTAACTTATAGAACGACTTCGATTAATACGTAAAAAAATACTTTAAATTTCAAAATAAATACTATAAACCCATACTAATTCACTAATTTTTTCCAGCTGTAATTGCTCTCATTTAGCCAGAGTAGAGAGACCTTCTATGAAAATTGAAAAGCAACCCCCAAGAAAAACAACAAGAGTAGAGAGACCTGGTTTATGTGAATAGACATCCCAGTTGTTCAAACCTTTACCGTCACTCAAGTAGCCACCTTCGTACTGTCAAAACCCAGAATTTATTAAACAGCAAGTGTTTATTCTTCATGATTAAAGATCAGTGAAGCAAACCTGATATGCAGAAGAGGCTGTTCCAAAGAGAAAGTCGGAAGGAAACACAGACAGATTGTCGAAGCTTTGTCTCGAAATTAGCATCTCGCATGAAGTGGAGAGAGGTGAGAAGAAAATCTGTAAGAGAAAGACACCAATGTAAAGCTTCATGGAGACATCCATGCCTGCCCGCCAGAGCCTGTTGTCTGCAATTACCAAATAACAAACGTGTATTATTGTATTATATATGGATATATTCTCCATTGATCTTCGCATACATATTATACATATAATATTTGAGGAAGATAAAACATATACAAAAGGAACAAAAAGCCACTGAATTTTCTATAAGCAGTAAGAGAAATAAACAATAGGAAGAATGATGAAAGGCAAATCTCCTTAGTTGGGAGGTTTCGTAAGAATCTTTGTACGATTGATACTTAAAGTCTAAATTAGTCCCAATTAGAGCAAGGGTGGTTTAGCAAGTTGAACATTTCTTAATTAACAAGTCTAATCCAACCTTGATCTTTTAATAGTTAATTTTGACCTCCATAATGAGCCGAACAACTAAAAAAGCATGAGCGATAAAAACGAATTCAAACTTGATATGATCTGATCGTTCGAAGTTATGAGCGGAAAGAGTAGAAGGAAGGAGCCCTGCTTTCTGCCGATGCGACTTCTTCATTCGCCAGGTTTACCATGAGGTATATAAAAATATAAACAAAAGGCAAACCAATAAGAGATATTGCAAGCAGAGATTTCATAAGAATCTTAAACGTTTAATTAATCCCCAATAATAGAAAAAGTGGGTTAGCAAGTAAAACGTTTCTTAATTAACACTTCCATCCAATCCAAGTAGAGATAGCGACAAATTCAGATAATATTTTATTATTTTTAAGAAATTCAGATAATATTTAGATTTCAATATATTAATTGTTACTCGTAATGAGTTACAAGTAAGTCTGCATATTAACACTTGAATGTTTATTATCTGAAATTATTTTGTTTTTATAAATAAGTTGAGAATTCGTTTTTACTTGCACAAATAATAGATGAAGTTTCACAGAAATTATGAACGTTTGATATGATCTGTTTTATTTTTATTATATTAAGCTCAATAAATTATCATTTAACTTTATCATAAAAAAATAACAATTCAAATCTATATAACACAAATTCAAATTAATATAAATTTAAAATCGACCAAAATTTGAAATAACTGAAATTTAAAAACACTTAAAAGGAATTTTATTTTACAGAAGCCAATAATTTTATTTATAATAGAAAATATACAAATTACGATGAATGTTTACAACTAAGATCGTAAATTAAACATATAATAAAGATATTTTTTTTAAAACGGAAAAGAAAAAAGGAAAATGTTAATAAACCTAATCAAGTAAACTCCAACAAAAGGTTGATACGAACATATTTGAGCGCGTCGGAAAAAACCACAAAAAGAGATGAAACTATTGAAAGACCATCGACAAACTGTAAATTAACATCAAACAACGTGAAAATAATATCCACGAACTTAAGTCGCATATCCAAATCCAATTCAAAATTCCAAAGCAGGAAAGTTTATGATAACAAATAAGCGTCATCTTAATCAGTCTACCGTGACAATGTCAATTTCAAACTTGGAAAAAAAAAA